GGAACAGGTTGCCTGGAGAAGGTGTCCCATCCCTGGAAGTGTTCAAGGCCAGGCTGGATGGGGCTTTGAGCAACCTGGTGTAGTGGAAGGTGTCCCTGCCCATGACAGCAGGGGTGGAACTAGGTGATCTTTAAGATCCCTTCCAAAGCAAACGATTCTATGATTCTGTGATTCTATGGTATTATGTGATACTGTACTACAGGGTTGGGCGAGCCTTCCTGATCCCAAGAGCTGCCTTACAAAAAATCATTGCAACTGATGTCAACAAGATTTATCTCAAAAAAACATGAGAGTGAAAGGGAAATTGTGGGCATGGCTCACTGGCAAGAATGACTACTGTTTCACTACACTGAGCTTTGTGGCTGGGCAGACAGCTAGATTCCGTAGTGATCTTGTTAATCTGAACAGTTCCGCCTGGCCCAGTAAGGAATTACTGTTCTCTGTCATGGGAGCTCCATTTACATTGCTCAGGAGCTGCACAGAACTCAAGAGCCACAAGTTCTCCTCAGAAACCATAGCAAATGCGTGAGGGAGGGAAGACATTGTGAGTAATTGCTGGTTTGATAACTGTGCCTAACTGGAATGAATTCAAATATAGAGTAAATTTTACTGCCAGGAAATAGGCCTACTTTGTACAGTTTATTTTTTGAAATCACTTCAGTAATACAAGCATTTGTGACGGTTGGGTAGTTTAACTGATGTGGTCTCCACCCAATTTTTTTAGTCCACTTAATCATCTTTGCACACTGGAGTTTCTAAGGTATCTAACAATTCAAACACTGAATTTTTCTTGTAATTGTCTGAACTTCATCATGGAGTCAAAAGTTCCTAGCTTGTCCCTTCCAATCAATTTATTTCATATTATGCAAAAGCCTTCTAAGCTATATGACCTTCAGCAATAAAATGGTACCAAATTGTTGCTAGCTGGGGTGTGGCTTGGTATTCCAGCGTTGAATGATCAGTTAGACATAAATTTTTGGTATGTGATTAAATGATGGTGTATGGGGAGAAACATTTTTATAATAAGAAGAAATAAGTATGATTTTAAGCTGAATAATAACTTTTTATAAATCATGAATACACTGGCATTTAGTTTGTTCTAATTTTATTATGCGGTAATTAATAGCTTATCTTTTGGTCTTAAAGGTAAAAGGTACATTTTAAAAGTAAGCTGTACTTACTTCTCTAATACTTGTGAAAAAGTCAGGGTCTTCTGTAGCTACAAAATAAATGCACATTTATATCAAGACATCATCTTGTAGCACGGCATGTACATGTGATCTAGAGAAGCAGTTGCAGCTCATGTCAGTTAACAAAAAGACTTTAAACTGTTTTTACTAACGAAGGTACAACAGCACTGTGTGTGTGATGTTGCATCTGCATTTTCAGGGTTGCACCATTTGTGCTACTGCAGCTACTTCTCTGCTTTTACACCATGGATGGCCAAACAGTATGTTGCTCAAGTGGTGCAGATGCAGCGTACTAAGCTTGAATTTGGGTTTTCTTCAGTCTATATGGCATTCACTAATGCTTTCTGTCTGAGGGTACTGAAGTAAGGTGAGGTTGGGAGCGAAGGTATGGGTTTGATAGCTGAGCTAGCATGAGATGTGATTAAGGGATATGAATGAAATGTGATAAGAAGAGGTGTGTTAGTGTGAATCTTCCAGTATTCTCAACCATATGAGAATTTAGGCCATGGACCTTGTCAGGTCAACAGGCTTTGCTGTCCTCTTCTGTGCAAACTGTAATTCTGTCTCTGAATTTGTTGTTTTTAATAAGAACCCGTTACTAAGGTTTTAAGTCTCTTAGTGCTTTTTGGTATTTTGTGCCATAATGAAGAGCTACCTAACGTAAATGTAGGAAAAAAACTATGTGGTTTTAAAACAACCTTTCGTTTCTATTTTCCACTGTTTCAATCTTCATCTCTGTCTTGTCTTAATCGGCTTTAGTATGATTTCATTCCTCCTATCATGCCTGTCGTGGAGTCACTAGATCCTGCATCATGGAGGCAGGGCTTGCGCAAAACTGGCATTGTTCTTGTGCCCAGTAAGGGTGAAAAATCTATGGTGAGGTCCTGGTGTGCACAGGTTTGTGTACAGGTTGCAAAATAACATATTTAATCAAAATGTTGATACTGGATTTGCATGTTTCTAAGTTTGCATCTCATGACCACAGTGTGTATTACAAAGTGTGGGTTTTTCTAAGCTAACTTTTAGAGGAGTAGCATACCTTGACCAGTCTTACATTTCTTATCTCATTAACTAATGTAAGAGAAGAGTGTGTGGGTTGTCTCTCACCACAACTCCCCTACGAATTCAACACTTCTATGATTATTAAAAATAGTTGTGTTCTCAAGTCTCCGCAAGGAGCATGAATTACCAAAGGGAATGTAAGTTAATAATGTAAATTCATTTACATGTGTTTTATAGTTTCCAACATCTACAACCAAGGTTTCTCCCAAAGAGGAAGAAAGGAAGGATGAATCTCCTGCTTCGTGGAGGTTAGGTCTTAGAAAAACTGGTAGTTATGGTGCACTTGCAGAGATTACTGCTTCCAAAGAAGCTCAGAAAGAAAAGGACTCTGCAGGTGTTATGCGTTCTGCTTCAAGTCCTAGACTTTCCTCTTCATTGGACAACAAAGAAAAGGTAATTGTTTTCAGTGTGAAACAACATTTTGAGGAACTGATGTACCTTACTTAGTATAGATGTTTATGTTGTATTGTAGAAGTAAGACTGTACTACACATCTGTTCTTTACCAAAATTCTGAAAAGTTAAATTATGCAAGCTTCTGCATAGTGTCTTTAAAAAGTGTAGTATGCACCTTCGTCGTCTGGTGACCTGGTACAAGAGGTCTGGGGCTTTTTCCTTTTTGGGACTTGCAGTGCTAGTAGTAGTTTTTACAGTTAAGGGAGATCAGAGGTTTGATAATTTTTGGCATCACTTGGAGAGCAGTGTTGAAAGAATCTTACAAAAAAGGAGTCTCTTTTTGTATTCCATAGTAATTTTTTATTTACAAAATTTTAGTTCTATAATTAAACATGAACACACTGAACCAAGTTAAGGATTAATTTGGAACAGGTAACTGAACAGTATAGGGTTCTTTTTCAAGTACAAATGTTTAAATGGTTTCAGGATTAATAATACTATACTATATAAAAACAGTAAAAAAGTTGCTTTCAGTAATCAGTGTTGGAATTGTACTGCAGCATAGCAGGAAAAAAGGAAATCAAATAATTTGCATCACTAGAATGAAAGTTTCCCTTTCCTATTGTAGTCCTTATGATATTTAACTATAGCTTAAAACTAATTTGTATAATCAGGTCACAGTAAATACAGCTAAAGTTGTCATAATGATGGTTTTCCAGCCAATAGCAGTATACTCAAAATAGTAACACTTGATAAAAAATACATGTCTTTCAGGAGAAAGATGGAAAAGGAACTCGACTTGCATATGTTGCACCTACAATACCAAGACGACTGGCCAGTACCTCTGACATTGATGAAAAAGAAAACAGGTGAAACTCTGAACTTACAATTTCTGTTAAATATAAAATTACTTGATTTTAGAGTGGCTGACAAACATACTGATTTTAAGACAACACTAATTATAGCCATATCCTGCTCTATAGATTATGCTAATCCATAAGATAATTCAATTCCTGAAGGTTTTTTATGACCCTTTTATCCAAAGGGTAAAAATCCAAATTGTTATATGACCAGAGCAAAACTGGGCAATGAGTGTTGTCTTCTTGGGGAGAAAATAAATAAAATCCAAAATATGAAGTTGTAAACTTCAAGCTACTGAAGCTGGTGCTAAAACCATTTTACTGCTTTGTCGTGTGCTATGGAGTGCAGCTGCTGGGCTTCATTATTACTTTTGATAGTAATAAAGTGCTGTGTTTGTTTCTTACAGTGTTTGCCTAAAACCACATCGTGCAGCAGCAATGATTTACAAAAATCATAGTTAAGTTGCAAAAGCAGTTCTTCCGTTTTTCTTGTTTACATGTTGACCTTTCATCTTCTTTTGGAGATTTTTACTTCCTTTACTGATATTTCTTCTGTAGCTTTCAGTATAAAAGAAACAAAAACTTTAGGTGCATAGGCTTGTTACCTGTTAGGATTTGGGGTACTTCCATGGCATACTTACACTTTCAGAACCTTCCCATTTTTCATTTCTCTCCTTTATTGAAGCCCTACTCTGACATTTTCTTGAGTTAGTATAGAATGCGTAGTGCAAAACTTAGAAGTCTCCCTAATGTCTTGTTTCTGTTGGATCGTATCTAGATAGCTGAGTATTGGATGACCTGAACTGAAAATCCTGTCATTGCTCAAAATGTACTATTATAATCATTGTCTATAAGACTGTAAATCTCCTTATGTCTGAACTGGAGCTTCTTTGTTGCTACTCTTGAGAATGGTTCACAAGATAAATACTGGCTTTTCTTATGCTTGCCGAATACTGTTGCCTAAGTTTAGTCTCTGGGTGACAAATTCTGCTTCGAAACAGGGATATTGCAGTTCTTACACTCCCATAAAGTTCAGCTTAGTTTGTTAGCATCTCTCATGTTACTTGGCCAGATTTTTATAATCTGTATTTCTGTAACAGGGCAGTTTGGAGTTTCTGTTTGTGCTTATCATTCTGTGGACTACTATATTCTTTGAGGCTGAGTTTGTCGGTTTTGGTTTGTTTCTGAGACTATTACTATTTCAGTTTTTATTCTTTTGAGATCTTCTCAAAAACTCCTGTTCTCCAAAGGTGTCTTAACTAGATGATACCTTAAGATTGGGGTAAATATTTCGTTAGCATTTTATTTCTTAGAAGCTGTTATTGCTTGTAACAAAGGGATTAAATTTTGCTTCAGTGTTGAGGTTTATTTGCGTCCTTGACGTGCCAGTCTTAACCATCGTGGCTTATTCACAGACACAGTTCCAAAAGCGGGCATCAGCAAGAACATATTTTTCCTCATATGCATTGGGTGAACTGGGGTCATCAGTCTCATTAGTCCCAGTGCTGATCAAACAATTGAGCTGCGAAATTTCTGTATTCCTTGGTGTACCGGAGATGAAGCCTGCTTTTAGGCCAGCCTATTTAGGCACCAATACTTTGCCTAGTGTGTAATGTGGCAGACGACTCAGCTTGCTTACTTAAAGCCATATAAGAGATTTTTGACATTTGGTCTGATCTTCTTTACATGCAGAATTTAACCATCTGCCCTACAGGTACCTTCATAAATTATTAAGGTTTCTGCCTTTGTCCCAGATCTTCGTCCTTGCTTGTTGGCTTAGCTTAATGCTGGGTTCTTGTTCTACCAGTCTGAGCACTTGCTTGTCTAGCTTATTGGTGATGTAGTGTAATCCAGCTAACATCCTACTGTGAGTAATGGAAAGGACTTAAAGATGAATCCCAGCTGGGCCTTTAGATTAACAAATCTCAGACATCCAGCCTCAGTCAAGTAGCCAATGCTACAGCAAAAGTGCTGAAGTCTGTAGTGTCTTGGCAAAGTGAAACCTTCCGTAATTATGAAAAAATTGTCATGTTGCAGGACCTTTCTTTGGTAGATGATATCTCAGAATTTGTGTTTCTCTGTGGTGGTAAGAAATAACACTGCATTGGCCTGTGTTTGATCATTTTCTAAAGTTGTTTCCAACCGCAGAAGTGCTAGCATAAATTTTTGTGCAAAAAGAGGTAAATTCTGAAGGCCAGAGTTAGCTGAACATAAAGTACATCTCTACAAAATTTTGATTTTATTTTCCCTTTCACATCAGTTTGCCTTTTATGTATAGTTCTTCCTTCTGTCTGAACTTTACTTCAGATCTTGAGCTGGTATTCTTATTAGAAATTAGGTTTTTTGCATCTCGGTGTCTGTTTTCGGGGTAGTTTTTCTAAGTAGATTTTTGCAAGGTTATGTCTTGCTGCTATAAACTGCAACAACAAGCTGGAAATTCCTTATGACTAAAGTAATGTCAGTTAGTGATACATGGCAGACCACTCGGGAATGGCTACTGCAGGCCTGTTTACACTAGTCTACAGTATCACATGTTCTAAAGGCTAGTCAGCTTTTGCACTACTTCTTATAACACCCAAGAATGAAAAATCAATTTCTAAAAAACACAAGTAGTTTTCCTTTTATTGCGTTGGATGATCTCAGGAGCAAACAGAAAAGCCTCTTGTTCCTTTTTTGAGAAAAACAAAGCCAGCAATGGTCACAGATAAAAGCTAATGGTTGATTTCATGTTGATTAAATCCTCTTTAGCAGTTTTTTTTTCTTTTTATGCTACTTTTCTATCATATTTCTAACAGTGTTAGTATGAATGTAGTATTTTTCCACAGGAGCTTGAAAATTATTCCCATAAAGGTAATTTATTCCTGTTCTGTGCAGTTACGTTTATTTTAAGTGTGTTATCCAGGGTTTTAATCTTTAATTTGAAGGTCCTTTTCAGCTCATGTCAAGAACAACCTTCTTTAATACAAGTTCATTAAACTAAAACTTTTTTACAGGGACTCGTCTGCTAGCTCAATACGTGGTGGCAGTTCATATACCCGGAGAAAATGGGAGGAAGATGTCAAGAAAAACAGTTTGAATGAAGGTCCTACATCATTAAACACAAGTTATCAAAGAAGGTGTGGGATTTTTCTCTCTATTTTTTTTATCAAAATAAACTTACAGATTAAAAGAAACAGTACTGAATCACTTTGTAAGAACTGTTCAGAATTGAATGGTGACATGTTGAAATGTTGTTCGTAATAGTTGAAAAGTATGTACTTACGCTGATGCAATGCTCGTGCTGATTTTAAAGCTACACCATTTTTAGTAGCTTAGAGTGTTGCAGCAACTCCTATGTAATTAAAATTATATGCTTCCTTTTTCCTGTTGTTTATTTCCATTTGAGGTTCATTTGACTCGTTCTAGTAGCCAAAGATAACTATTTTAAATGTTGGAATAAGAAGTAATTCTGCTTGGTATCTGAAAGGAAAAGGGGAAAAATATTGTCTCTCTTTAATTTTGGTTTTTGCACAACAGTATCAGAGGTCTTGGGCTGCTCTCCATAATGGTGGATTATAGCCATACTTATGTTGTCTATCAGCATCGTAGGATACATATGTAAAATTAACTTGAATGCAAAGTAACTGATGATTAATATGAAAATAATTTTCAGGTGTGCATGGTTCCTATTTTCAGGATTTTCTCAGAAGGAATCAAATCTTCCAAATATATACCTGACTATCCTTACTCCATTGTGTATTTTCAATTTAGCTATTTGAGTAAATTTCTTGATTGGAATTAGTGGAGCAATAAATATCTAAAATGAATAGATCAAAAGAAAAGATTCAGGTAGCTAAGCTGCATATTGGTATGTGCTGCTGATGTATGTGGTGATGGGTACTTAACTTTTTTTAGTCTTGACACTGATGTTGTCAGTGGCATATAGTCAGGCTGTTTCAGACAGCATAATGCATCTTGCATCTTTGTTAACCTCCTGCCTTAAAAAGAAAACTCAATTTTCCTAAATTTAGGTTTAGGAAAGAATTTGCACAGATCTGTTCTGGATGGAAAATATCAACAGTTGATATATGAGAACAATCTTTGCATGTTAGCTTTTATCAATATTTACACTCCAGTCTTCAAACAAAATGTACTCATCACTTTTAAATTGCATGTGGTGCTTTACTGGTGTATTTCCTTAGTTGTACAGTTATGTTTTTTCTTTGTCATTATAGAATTGATAGTAATAGAAAAAATTACTATTAATTTTTTATAGTACTTGTAGAATGTACAAGTACTATACAAGTACTTGTAGAATGTATACATGTACAAGTAGAATGTATGAACTACATTCATTAGTAGTAATGTAGTACTTGTTGAATGTACTTGTAGAATGTAGTACAAGTACATTCAACAAGTATGTATGAATACTTGTAGAATGACAAGCATGTTTCCTTACATTTTTTGCAGTTATTAGTATGATGATCTGTCTGTTCTAACTGTGGTTTCTGGGTTTTAGTCATGGGCAAACATCCTTACTTGGTAATGCAAAATTTGTTCATCCAGAACCAATGGATAAAAATGTTGAAACCACTGGATCTTCTTTACAACTTGAAGAGCAAGGGAAAAGCCTGAGTGGGAGGTTATTTTTTCTGGGAATGATTAAAGTTAAAAAAAAACCAAAACAAAACAGTACATTTTATTGGTTGAAAATTATAACAACAGTGATATTGATGGCATTTTCTTTTCTGACAAGCTGTGGAGTAAAATTGTGCATTTTCTGAGGTATTCAGTGCGGGTGAAACAGCAGTTTAAAAATGGGACATTGGGGGCCCTAGATGAATACTTCAGTAGATGCAATCAAGAAAGTCATACATAAACCAGTGAGATGCCATTCTTAGTCCTGACTGTTTCTCCTCGAGGAGACAAAGGGACACTTCTGCTGCCCTCTGAAGTCATAATTTAAAAGTCCTAGTGAAGAAAATGCTTCTTTTTCCCCAGAAGTTTGCAAGACTCACCTGAGACACAGCATACACAGGCATGAGTTTAATGGATGGTTCACGGCTCTGTGATATTTTAGTGAGCAAAAATAAGTAATACAAATACATCCATTGTACATGTCTCTCCTTCAGTGGCTCCTTTGGTAGAAGACAAGATGATTTGATTAGTTCTAATGTTCCAAGTACTGCATCAACAGTTACCTCTTCTGCTGGTCTTCAGAAAACACTGCCTGCCAGCGCAAACACTACTACAAAGAGTACAACGGGTTCTACTTCAGCAGGTGTACAAAGCAGGTAATGGCACCAGCACACTTCTTTTTTTCCTTTTTTTTTCGTCAGGTCTACTGTGTGCTTATGTATGTGCATGCGTTCTTGTTTAGTAGATCCTGGGGCTCTGGATTTTTTCACTTTCCTGTTAAATTTGTTTTGATTTTATACAATTTGGCTCAAAAATTGTGAATGGCTTTCTACTGTAAAGTGACAGCCATATTAGTATAAAAGAATAAATCCAATGTTAGAAGGGTGTGAAGAATAAAAGTTCAATTATTGTGAACTGCTCAATTCTTATTTTATTCAATTTAATAGCTCAAGTTGAGCTTTCATAATAGAGACATTTCTCAGTCTGTTTTTAAAAAAAAAAATCCATCCCTCAATTTACATGTTATTAGTTGTTTAGTAAAGTGCTTTCATTGTTTAGCTGTTTCCTTTTCTCTTTTTTTGTGTTGCTGCTTGTTACGCTGTAGTACCTCAAATCGTTTGTGGGCTGAGGATAGTACTGAGAAAGAAAAGGACAGTGTTCCTACAGCAGTGACCGTTCCTGTTGCACCATCTGTTGTAAATGCTACAGCCACTACCACAGCCATGACTACAGCTACTTCTGGCACTGTGTCCTCAACATCAGAGGTCAGGGAGAGACGGAGGTGTGTAAAGGTCCTAAGAGTAATGTTGCTCTCATACAAAAGTTATATTTTTTTCTTATTTAAAGGAATGTGTTGGTTACCACAAATTTGGGTAGTACAGTATGTAAAGCGCTGGTGTTTGCTTGCCGTTTGCCTGCTGAAACAATTAGCGACATGCCTCTATTTATGTAAGAGCTTAGTACTAGTAGAGACCTTTCATGAAATTTAAAATTTGATATTGTATCTTTTTGACTGGCCTTGGGTTCTCATTTGGTATGTGGTATTTTCATATTTGTATTTCTGTTAATAGATTAAATGAGTCCTCTTATAAATACCCATAATGGATCTATGTAAAAAAGAGTTAAAGATAAGAAAATCAATAATTATTTACTTGTAACAAGTATATTGCTGCTGATTGAGCTACTGTGCCATAGGCAGTATGCTAATAAGTTGCAACATAGCATTTTTTCTATGCCTGTTTTGTATGCCTGGCACTACTGAGTTTTAAAAAGAGTATTGAACCCAACACATTCTGTTTATTTCATTGCACCAATCAGGGTCTCTTCTACTTGAAGCATAATATACAGTTGTAAATGCAATGGTCTAAGAGCTGTTCAGCATGAAGAATGAGTGAGAAGCTGATGTAAATCTTATTTTAAGAATATAGTGTTTTCTCCTGTTACAGTTACATGGAGGATGAGTTAAGATTGGTGCATTTTATGTTTCCGTAAAGAGTTGTTACCTGCTACTTATGGAAGCAAAAATAAGATTTTCCAAGGTTCTTAATTCCTATTAGCTTTCCCTGGGTTCTTGTTCTGGATACTTATAAATGCTTATCCTTTAACCCTTCCACTGAAATGTCAGTTCAGATTTCTGTGTTGCTCCTGTAGTAGTTTTGAAATATAACTCCTGTTATCAGTGCCAGATGTGTGTATCTCTGTATGTTCACAGAGGTAATGAAGCTGTTTGTTGTTACAGAGAAAACCTTCATTCTTTTGGTTCACTTAACACAGTAAGAACATTTAAAGATTCCTCATAGCTTTAGGCCTATTTAGGATAGTCTGTTTTCCATAGTCGTCTTCCTGTCATACCCAAAACTGAGATGAAATAACTTCTATTGTTTTTTTGCTTCCCCACCATGATTCAGGAGGTGCCCACATGTGCTTAAAACCCATTTCAGTAACAACTGTAGTCAAAACCTGCGTTTTCCATAGCAAAATTTGACTGAACCCGACAAATCAAAAGCAAACCCAACAAAATAAATTTTTTTTCAAAAGTAGTTCCAATTTTAAAATGCAAATGCTATTTCAGTCTCATATGAGCTAGAAAAACAAGGAAATTTAGAATTAAGGCTTTTGCTGTCTTGTTTGCTCTCACTAATATGTGTATACTAATGTGCATATACTACATATGTTTTAGATACCTGCAGTTGGCCTGAAATGCCTTGTTTTCATCTGACTCTGGGTCGATTGTGTAATGCAGTGTTGCAGATGCATTCTTGATGACCTATTAAAATGTCCATTAAATCTTAGAAATCAGCAAAACTAGAATTTCTGCATGCATGTGAGAAAGTAGTGCTCTAAATATCAGCACATGCATATCTATCTGTATATATACAGATACATACGTATATGTGCATGTGTGTGTATCTATGTATGTTTATATGCACATAAAAACTTATCTATATATGAAATATTGTCTGTTAAATATTTTCTTAATAAATGAAGTTGGTTGATCCATATTTATAGGCTGAAAGTGTGTATTTAGAAAATATGTTTGAAATAGTATTTCAAAGGGTATTTGAAAAGTAAGGACATAAACTACTCTTAGTGATGAAGCAGCTAATGGTGCGTCCTTTTGGAATAGCTGAAGAAGCTATGTTCTTGATCTAATTTTTAGGATTGGTTTAGAGAAACAGGGAAGAGAATGATAAAATTGAATCTTTAAATCTTTGTATCATTAATAATACTGTGTGACATACCCAGGGGAAACTTTCGGCTCTGACAGTAGCTGTATTATTGTGCACCTGACCAGCTGAGAGTTTTCATTTTCCCTCAGTGAGGTTTCAGGTATTTCAGATTTATTGGAGGGTAGGTGTATGTACACCAGATACTAAAGAGCAAGTTATATGGAGTAATTTGTAGACATTTTCAAGCCCTAAAGATTACACTTGCTCTGCAATCAACATCTCCTAGGAAGGTAGTATTTCAGGTCATGTTAGCTAAAGCAGCTAACAAGCACCCTTTTCCTAATACAGATAGGGCCTAGGGCTCTATGAAAATGGAAAGTCTATAATAAATGCTCTTTGCAAGAGAACAGGATAGGGAAATCAAATTAATATAGGTGGGATTGTTTTTTAAGATGTGTCATAAGATAGGAGATGTTTGTACATTTGTAGGTATAGCAGCTAGTTATAAATGTTTTCTTGTGTTTTGGGGTAATTTGTTTAATAGGGATAGAACATAGGTAGTAATCCACAGGTCTGTGTCAATGAAGTTTATTTTTAAAATTTATTAACTAAGTTTATTTTTAAAACTGTTTTAGAATTGTTTTTAGTATGTGCTAAGGCTAGCAAATACATAATTAGGTGACTAAAGAACTGCTCTTTCCATAGGGAAATTATTTAAGTGTTAGTAAGTAATGGCTTTTGAAACATAATCACTAGCTAATTATTGAATCATTAGCCAATTATTCTTAACTAATGACATTTAAAAACATAGACAATCAGAAAATACTACAGAATCTGACTATAATATTTTTAATGTAGCTAATTTTATGATTAAAGAAACTCAGGTTTTGTGTTTTAAGTAACCTTTTAGCAACCTTGGCATTCTGCTTCTTCAAAATTTTCCAATTTTTAGCTAATCTAGGAGTTTTAAAGATATGTTAAATTATAACAGCATTCCCAGAATATTGTGTAATAGAAAATCAATAAATGCATTAAAAACTTTGAAGCTCTTTAATGATGGTTTTACATACATACATACATATACATGTTACATACATACAAATACAGACATTTATGCATGTATATGTATCTCTCTTTCTTTTTCTTTTCTTTTTTTTTTTTTCACCCCAGTTATCTGGATTTGAGAATTTTTACTTTAGAGTCCAGACCTTGTATGTCTAATCTAGTAGCCTTTTGGCTTTGATTATAGTTACCTGCTTACTCTGCAGGATTTTTATGTTTCACGAGGATTTATTTTTAAACACAGTTTTTTAAATACAGCTGGATTACTCAAAGCATGGATGATTCATATGAAAATATGGTAACCACCTCCTCAATGATTTGTAATCTCTGGTGCAATAGATGGTATAATTAGGTTTTCTGCATTAGCAGTACATTAAACTTTTTCTAAAAGCCTAAAAGTTATGTTAAAAGTTATTACACACACAGACATATATTTATGTACAAATGTGTAATTGGATGAATCTCTGAGGTCTTCTACCCCTATGTTAGTACACTAGTGAAATACCAAAAAAGCTTAAGTTATATTTAGAGAAAATGATAAAAAGAAATCTGAATTAGGTAGGAAAACACTGTATTTTAATTGAGTTCTGAGGCTGTTGTCCTTGATCATTATGATATGGATGAAATGACTAAAATATAATCTGTCTCGCATAGTTAAAGATTTTCTTCTAACTGCTTTGTTTTTCAGTCATACTGTGTTGTGCGGATTTTTTCTGACCATTTAATACATTTGTGCAAAAATTGTTTGCCAATTTTGTTTGTAATTAACTCTTTAGATCATACCTCACTCCAGTACGGGATGAAGAGTCAGAGTCCCAAAGAAAAGCTAGATCCAGGCAAGCAAGACAGTCTAGAAGATCTACGCAGGTATAGTTTTATTAAAACTTCTGTATTTAGGGAAACATACCCATGTAACTCCCTGAGTACAGTGAAGCTTTAATTTCCCCATAAAGCTACAAATAAACTGATGGGTCTTCCTGGTATAGAACAATTTGTACTGCATGAAATAAAGCCTCTTTTTTTTCCCCTTTCTCCTCTGAAAGCTTTAGGAGCCTTCATTGTGTACTGAAAGTTGCTTTTTCTAATTACTGAAGAGTGACTTAATACAAATTTGAAAGCACAGACTCCTCCAGTGAAAGGAAGTTTCTGATTGCATTATGGTAAAATGGCTTACTCAAGTAGTTGTATCTGATGTTATGTAGATACTTAAATCGAAGGCTTTGAATTCTTCAGGAACTAACAGCTATATGCTTCTGGCTGAAGACTTAATAGTTGAGAAACAGGGATAGTGTACTCTATTTACTTCCATTTCTAAGTCTTTTGGACTATTGAAAATAATGTGATTGAGCTGACCAACATATGAATAGCTAGTAAGATCCATGACATAGAAAAAATTATATTCAACCTAGTTTCTGTGGACACGGAAGAGCATTAAGAAGAGTTTTTTGTTACTTGCTAATAATCTAGAATATAACTGCATGTCTCCTTTCAGCGTTTCTCTCTTTTAGTTTACATACTGATGTATTTGATGGTTCTTCCCAATTTCTATCAGAACTACCTCATACTAAATTGCAATCCTAACATAAGGAAGGATGTGACAGTAGCAAAATACATTATCTCTAAATGGTACTTGAATACTCTTTGGGCAGTGAAGCAATTACCAACCACTATCCTCTGGAGTGTGTCTACCCATATCTTTTCGTGTCTGCTGACAAACTGAGAATAATCAGCAAATAGTCCCTAGGTAAAACAGCACAAAGAAATACTCTTAGCCATCATTCTTATCTGCTTTAATGCCAAGTCTGTATCTACATTGTTTACCAATGTTACTTTCAAATCTTTGCAGTTTTAAGCTCATATTTCTGATTACATTTCGTACTGAGATATTCACACTGCTTGATACAACTTTATCTTACTGGAGTTCTTTTTTACCTCTTGATACTAATTCAGAGCCCTGAGAGATGGTCAAACCACAGGCCAGCTATTGTTGAATCTTTACAGTGAAGAAACTACCAGGAAGTACTGTATTAAAATATTATCAACACAAAAAGCAATAAAATAACTGATAAGCTGCAAAGTTGGCTTTGAAGAATAGGTTCGAAGTGTTCGTATTCAAAGAATACAAAGTGTTTTGAGCAGTATCTCAGTCAGATAAAAGTGAAGGAGAGAAAAGCTGTCTTCCAAAATTCTTTGCTTTCCGAGCTTATTTCAAAACGAGTTTTTAGTCTCAGAATAACAGGGAAATAAGAAATGAGTTATAACTTTCTCTGGTGCTGTCAATGCATTTTTTTTGTGTGTTGGTGACCTAAAAATCCAGTTGCAGTGAGTGGGTAAAATATCAACATTTCTGAAAATTTGATAAGTATGGTATTTTTAGGGTTCTTTCAAAAATATTTAGTGTGCTTATTATTATATTGGAAGGATCTAGTGGGTTCTTAAATGATTTCTGTACGATTTTTACATAATCTATATGTACTAGTTCAACTGAAAAATGTGTTGCTGGAGAATCTGTGGTAGAACACATTACAGCAAACACTTGCCACTAATCAGAGAGGGATGTTTGGTTCCAAGATTCAAGAGAAAAGCTTATAGGTAGAATATATGGAATTATATTAATGGAATTCCATTCTTAATGGAATTCATTTTCTTAAGCTGAATTTTGTCCTTAAAATATATATTTATAATGTGATCGTCTACATTAATACAAGTGATATACTGAAACATTGTTTGCTGACTGTTGTTTTCACAGGGCGTAACACTGACAGATCTTCAAGAAGCTGAAAAAACTATAGGAAGGAGTCGTCCCACGCGAACCAGAGAACAGGAAAATGAAGAAAAAGAAAAAGAAGAGAAAGAAAAGCAAGACAAAGAAAAACAAGAAGAAAAGAAGGAATCTGAAACTAAAGACGATGATTATAGACAAAGATATTCCCGAACTGTTGAAGAGGTATTTTCATGATGGGTCTCTTTAGGTAGAGAAATTATATGGATCTTAACTCCAACTATAATATTTTAATTTTATTTTATAAGAATTATTTGTATATTTAAATGTTTTAATGTCATGTGGTTTATATTTGTTTAAGCTTGGTAAATTAATTTTGACGTTTTTCTGCTGAATAGCCATATCATCGCTATAGACCAACTTCAACTTCAACTTCTTCATCATCCACCTCTTCGCTCTCCACCTCCACTAGCTCTCTTTCAACTTCAAGTCAACTAAACAGACCAAACAGTCTTATAGGTATAACTTCTGCCTATTCTCGGAGTGGAACAAAGGAAAGTGAGAGAGGTATGAGTACTGTTTGTGAAGGGGTTTTGGTTTTTTGTTTTAGTTGACAAAGAACAGCTTATGTTTTTAAAGGTAGTTCAAATGTAAGGCAGTATGTAAGGCCACTGGGGATGTATCTTACTCACATCTTCTGTAAGAAATTCCTACATTTGCATATAGAGGGGAAAAAAGGTTTTCTGTACTTGGTGGTGTTTTGCAGCCATTTGGTTTGTGTATCTGTGTTTTCCACTGGTGGGCCATAGAAATGTCAAATAGCACCAGTATCCACATAATGCTTTCATTTCTCCTTTAATGCAGCAAGCATAATAAAAAATACCACATTTCAGGGTTTAAATACTTGCAGGTATTGAGGAGGAATTTTACTTCATTAAATAATTGCTAAATAACTGGGGTTTTGTTTCAGACCTTCCACATTGAAGGACTGGAACAATGCTTTAAGGCTTTAAGGACCTCTCAGGGTTTTATGAGCAGCTGAAAGCAAAGGGAGGGGGATATTTGCAGTGGTAGTTCAGACTATTTAATGGAACCATACTTTTAGATACTTAACTGGTTTATGTAATCTTAAGCTGAGGATCAGATGTGTGATTCAGGAAAAAAAGCTTTTCTCTGATGTCACAGAGTGTTTGCCCTCATTTCAAATGTGAATCACCTGCTATAATTCCCAGAGGTGTTGTGCCTGTTTAGTTGCCTGTCAGAGGAGGCTGTTGACATACAGTGTGATCTCCTGTTCTCTCTCAGAGGCATGCCACAGTTGACTTGGGAGAAATACTTTAATTCAAATTATTGATCATAAATTGAATAGGATTACTGATTGAAATTGATAATTTTGTCATACAGAGGATCAGATTAAATAATCCATTGATCAGATTTCTATGAACTATGTAACAGTATTGCCATTTTCCCTAGACTGGTATTTTCTGAGGAAGTTATTGGGGCTAAGCTTCAGGGATAAGCTTTGTGATTTTTTTTCCTTCTGTCCTAACATGAACTGAAATTTGGATTAAGATTCTTCAGTAATGCATGCTTACTCTAGGAAACTCTTTCTAGACTGTTATATGGAAAAGATTTTCATGGGTAAATATTAGCTACAGCAGGTTTTTTTTTTTTCGAATTATGACTTTAGGAGGAGAAATACATTACCGTCTGAAAGCCCAGAGGTAAAATCATCATTTATTTAATTAGGAAAGGTGTATGTTCACCATGAATATTTGTATTTCCTTCTTTTCTATTTAATTCTTGCTTCACACTAAAACGTTTATTTACCTCTAAAGACTAGTGATGGTAAAGTTAAGTTATTAGTGATGCTTCTATCTGAACCCAATACTGTGGTTTCTTTCTTTAATAAAAGAACAGCAGACCGAATAGACTACATAATAATAGGTAAATAACTTGGGTTTGGGCAGGTTTGTTTAATTTTTTTTTTTTTTTTTTTTTTTTTACAAATTACTTGTAAACATATAGGGGAACAAACACAATCCTGAGGTATTATGTAGGTTTTGAATTGCAATTGCATTTCTTTTAAAGAAAAAGGAAATCTGTAATACAGTATTAATCTAATCTAGGAGATCCCATTTTATTCTTCCTTAGAGCAAAAATGGAGAGGACTGTAATGAAACGGGGCACTCTAAGGAGGACTTAACAGACTTTTAAAAGTTGGGTTTTTTTAATATTGAATTCTTTATGTAAGCAAAAAAACTTGTTTGATGAAGAATGGTGAAGAATTATCTTCTCTTTATTTTGTACTTTTATACATCTACTGACACAGATGTTTGAATTATTACACGACACTTGAAAATTGAATTTTAAGTCCAATTTGTAGTGTATTACTGTTAATATTGAAATGTTTTGTTTAGGTGTCTGAGGTGGAATTAGTATTTTACAGTTGCTATTCAAGAATTAGAACATTATTTACAATTTTTTAGAGCTATATTCTGAAGAATGTATATTACAGCAAACCCTGTATGTGGTAAGAAGCTCTTTAGCAAATTTATTTCAGGTAGAAAAATTAATTGTAAGCATTTTAAAGACTGAGAATTATTTCAGAAAATTAAATTGTGTCATACTTAAATGAATAAGAAAATTGTTATTAACAGAAGGGGGCAAAAAAGAGGAAGAAAAAGAAGAAGATAAGTCACAGCCTAAGTCTATAAGGGAAAGGCGGCGACCAAGAGAAAAACGACGATCTACAGGAGTTTCTTTTTGGACTCAAGATGTAAGTAAACAACTGCTACTACTGGTTTATAGCCTTAGCTTGTAGCAGTATGGAATGTGTATAGTGTATTCTTAAAATAGAGAATAGTTTAGAGTAATACAGTATATAACTAACTGTTCTGGAAAAACTGATGCTTGTTCAAGTTACATATTGCCTGTTTTGAAGCTTTCAGGAGCAAAATCAAAATTAAGTCTAAGTTACATTGATAATGTTAAAAAGAATTCTAGAATACCGTAATTACCATAACTTAATAGGAATTAATCATAATCTAAGGAAAAAACAATCATTGATCAATTCTTTTCTATTGTATGCATCCTAAAGCTGTAAGACTCATTATCTGGCACATGAGAAGTAGCCATGTACTTACAACTGAAAGAATTGCTGTCAGATTAGAAGGGTTATAGTTGATGTTTCAGCTGATTCCCTTTCCCTTTTCTTTGTCATGGGATCAGTATGTAATTTTGTAAAAGCAAAATTTTCATATGCCAAATGCAAAATTCTGTTTTCTCTACTTCTGGTACTGAAAACATAGTTGTTTGAGAGTTTTCATCATACGTATCATATATTCTCTATACATTTTAGTTAGATGCATTTCTACTGTTCTTAGATTTTCCTATTAAAAGTCTAGAATGCCTTAAAATCTCAGTAAGCTTTCAACAGCTTATTTATTTTTCTCTCCCACTTCTTTCACCAGAGTGATGAAAATGAACAGGAGCACCAGTCTGATTTAGAAGAAGGAACAAATAAGAAAGAAACTCAGGTAATTTTAAAAAGATAATTAGTTTATTAACTTTCTAACAGATACATTCTGATTGTAAAATTTCTGTTATAGTTGGATTCAGTGAAAAGAGTACACAGAGTAGAGTTCTTACAAGTGCTTTCTGATTCATACTTTGTGGCTATGGTTCAGTGCCATTTCCTTTGCAGGCTCTAATAACAATTTTTAACGTATTAACAAATGGTTAAAACTGATGTTTCTCTCTTCCACTCTAATTATGTAGAATTAGCATCCAGAAAATGAAATTTCTGACACACAGGTCAAGGACATGTTGCAGCAAGTTACTGGAGGGAGCTTTCAGTTTCTACCTTGCAAAAATCTTTGTTCCATCTGCTTTGTTATTTTCAGATAAATTGATATCCAGTGCCTTATGCACACTAATTAAAGCATTTTAAAATGAAACCCAGTGCTGTCAGTAATGTAATTAACAAATAATATGAGAAGTTAATGTAATGATTTCTCCATTTATGAAAATGGATTTCTGAACTTCCTAATTCAGTATTCTTAGTCTTGTTAAAAAGTCTGTGGAAAACAGCATAATAGGCTTGATTTGATGGAAAATGTCCTTATAAACTGAATGGTATATGATAGTGGGGTGAAGGGGGTTAAAAGGGAAGTGTTAACTTAAGCTATACTATAAAATGGTGTAGCAGAATGTATTTCTTTTGACCTAAACCCTGGAGTCACACACTGCAGCATCAGGTTCATTACTGAGGAATAAAACTGAAGTAATGTTTCTCTCCTTTTTGTAAAAGCTTCCAATACACATTCCTTAAATACTTTAGTTAAGAGATGCACTCTGTGCCATTTTGATTTGCTGTATTTTTTATTTCCATTCACATTAACATAAATGCATAGCTCTGTTTCCTTTCCTCACACTAGTACATATAATTATCCTTAGATCTGTAATTACTCCATATTCTGTTCTCTAGAAATTCATTTTTGGTAAATGTGCTTGTGGTAGTTCTAATAGAATTAGACTCACATAAGAAATAGTGAGACATTCTATAAGTGACTGGCGGAGGTCGCGCATTCGTTGGCCCTTGTTCTTGTGGGGGACTTGAATCTACTGGACATCTGCTGGAAGTATAACATGGCAGAGAGGAAACAATCTGGGAGGTTCCTGGAGTGTGTGGAGGATAACTTCCTGACACAGCTGGTGAGGGAGCCCACCAGGGGAGGTGCCTTGCTGGACCTGCTGTTTACAAACAGAGGAGGACTGGTGAGAGATGTGGTGGCTGGAGGCCGTCTTGGGCTTAGCGACCACGACATGATAGAATTCTCAATTGTGAGTGAAGTAAGGAGAGGGGTCAGCAAAACTGCTGCCATGGACTTCCGGAGGGCAGACTTTGGCCTGTTCAGGTCACTGGTTGAGAGAGTCCCTTGGGAGACAGTCCTGAAGGACAAAGGGGTCCAGGAAGGCTGGACAGTGTTCAGGAAGGAAATCTCAAAGGCGCAGGAGCAGGCAGTCCCCATGTGCCGTAAGAAGAGCTGGCGGGGAAGGCGACCGGCCTGGCTGAACAGGGAGATTTTGCTGGGACTCAGGGAAAAGAGGAGAGTTTATCACCTCTGGAAGAAGGGGCAGGCAACTCACGAAGAGTTACAAGGATCTTGTTAGGTCAAGCAGGGACAAAATTAGAAAGGCAAAAGCCCAGCTAGAGCTCAGTCTGTCCACAGTCGTAAAGGATACTAAAAAATGTTTTCACAAGTATATTAACAACAGAAAGAGAGGCAAGGAGAATCTCCATC